CCCCCCCCCCCCCCCCCAAATATACATGCTTAGCTACGGCCCTGCTTACGCTTCCTAATAACTTACTAGTAATCCTTATCTAACATCTTTATCTAAAATAGAGCACATTTTGTAATCCAAAAAAGGCTAGGGTATCTACTTTCTTTTGAAAAAGAGCACATTTCTGTTTTCAAAAACGCGAGGGGGGGGGGGAGGCACTGACCCCCAGTGCCCCCGTTTCCACAGCCCTTGGTTGCATCCCCACCAATCCGAAGCATTCTTAAGAAAATAATATCACAATGGTTGTAAAAATAAAATAGTCTACTTACTAGGCTAATTAAAGTATGTACAATTAGGTAATACTTGATGTAAAGCGCATTTAATGATATCTACATGTAAATTTACGCTATAAAAATTAATCTTTGACAGCTAGTTCAGGCCTGGAATACAGTGTTTACAGTATATGGCGAATTTCTCATGTCCAGGCAAGATCTTGTCCACAATGCAATAAATATTTCTGTCAGTCTTAAACAAGTTTAACCTACAGAAAAAATTGCCTCCTTCATAACACGACCTTTAAAGAAAATGGATTTCCAGCCATTTTTCTAGTTTTATATAACTCCTCTAGAAAACCCCGTCCAGTGTGTTTTGTACAAAAAGACCACAGGGTGGTGGAAGACTTCAGTTTTATATTATTCTCACGCTGCAGAGAACAGCGAAAAATTCATTGTCTCGAGCGCGATTCCAACTCCATCTTCGGGCGTTAAAGTGCCTATGACGCGAAATTTCACCCCAAAGGTTTATGGTTGCATTGTTAAGATCACTTAAAATGACTTAATAATTTCTTTTATAGAATTTTGGTAACTTGCTCCCTTTTCAAGATATTTAACTTTGTTTCATATGCAAATATCACCGGTGTGACATCACATCACATAATGAGTTTTCAGAAAAGTATCGTTTTCTTGACGAATACGTATCTAAAAAACTTAAACATTACCCTTGTATATGTATTAATTTCATAACTGGTAATTAACCCTCTGTATTTGTTTGTAAAAATATTTTATCAAGGTAAAATATTGCGTTTTCAAAATGTCATTATGCGATGTGATGTCACACCGATGATATTTGCATATGAAACAAAGTTGAATATCTTGCAAAGCAAGCAAGTTACCAAAATTCTATAAAAGAAATTATTAAGTCATTTTAAGTGATCTTTGCAATGCAATCATAAACATTGGCGGTGAAATTTCGTGTCATAGGCACTTTAAGTCATCGGGAAAATATTTCGTGCACTTAAATTAGAAAAGACTTGCTACCAATCCCCGTTGACTCGATAGCTCAATGGGCAGAGCGGTCGACTAGACACCCGAGGTTGCGAATCCCACTCTGTAGACAACGAATTTTTTGTTTTTCTCTGCGGTGTCAAAATAATATTTAAATCACTTTATTGGACCGTGAACGGGACTCAAAGTCCCATGCGAGGCACTCCGACTAGATAAAATTAGCCTAGGTCAAGATAAAAATATGAAACTAGTTTTCCATATCTCTGAGGATGGTTCTGAAATGAGGCTTCATCCTATATATATAATTTTATTTTAGCTGAACTTGATCGCACGGAGTTTGACGAACGAGATTTGGAAAAATTGCGAAAAAATGACGCTGAAGGAGAACTTTGGCTTCGTCTTTTTATTCGTTCAAGACAGGGAGATTTGGAGAAAGCTTATAAGACTTTGGTATTTATTTTTTTAAATTTATTTATTACACTTTGCCTCAACAGGCTTGGAAAAAGAATATCATGCTGTTTATGCATGGCTAGTTTCAGTTGTACAAACTACGTTTAATCTGCATGGAAGCACATGCATGGAAAAAATACTGCATGTATATACTGTATACTGTAATCCATGCTGTAATCATCCTAATTTATAACGATACTCGATCGTCAAGACATGTTGCTCTATTCATATAGGCGTACGGGCGGAGTGTGTGTGTGTGTGTGGGGGGGGGGGCAGATATTTGTCCGACATATCGATGGAAATTGCCCGATATTATATCATGGGTTTATTGATAGATGAATAGAAGGTAAATCTATACAGACGCGCGGAAATACAAAGTCAATGTTAAAACGATATATGAAAATATAAAACTAATTACGAGTATTTCTGGGATTTTATTCTTCAATGTACATTGAAAACTTGCCCTACAGTACTCCATGCAATTTGAATTTAATGAAATAAATTTCAATCTGTCGTTCAGTTTCTGTGACTAAACATCTAAACAATAGTATGACAAGCTACATATATGGAGGCAAGCAAGCCCAGCAAATTGTCCGATTTTTTAAGTAGAATCTGCCGAACTAAACACCGAGTATTGGGTGGTGCAATCCCCCAATCCCCATCTCGTACGCCCATGTTTCTTTGCCAAATCTGTGGAGTTTGTAACAAATTGTGCTTGATTACTGTATATGTTTTATCATAATTACTGTATATGTTTTATCATCTTTAGATAGAATCTCTGAAATGGCGAAAACAGTCTAAAATCCGTGGTAGAGTATTTCTATATAGTATATTTTGACCTCTTACGACCAGTGCGGCATTGGTATTAATATTCTTCAGCATTTTCTGCCTGCAAAGCGTGCGATTGCAACTGCAAATTACAGTGTATAAGTATTTTAATACTTAAAAGTAAGTGGGTGAGTGAGTGGGGGTATGAATCATTCTTACTTGCAGCTGAGAGCCAAGCTGATTTGCGAAAGACACAGCTCAACCTGATCGATTCGAGGGTCAGTTTACTCAGTTAGGGGCTAATCCCAACCCACCCTGTCAACTTTCCCTGTGGGAGGAAACTGGACTACCTGGAGAAAACCCACGACTTTCACTTTTGGTAGAGCGTTGACTAACTCTTTTCGCATCTTAAGTGTCATTTGTCCGCAACGAGAATCGAAGCCATGATCTCAGAGGTTGCTCTGACGACTGCACCACCGACTGCCCCTTCAAAGCATATGAATGATACATCATATAAACATCAGCGTACTTCGTTGCGGGTGCCACGAGCCTGGGAATAAGGTTGGCTACAACCTACCTGCCTGGATTGTACGCGGTTCAATGATCAGTTGCATGATTTTAGGAAGTACAGTGAGCAGCAATGACTGGTTCAGTGATACGTTTGAGTTATGTGATGCTTACAAAATATTTACTGATTGATTATCTCAAGTTTAACAACACATCTGAACATGCAGTATATATGAGACAAGATTATTGATATTAGATATTATTTTAGATGTTAAACTGGAAAATTGGTTAGCAGATAATACCAAGAAAGAAATTCTAGAGGGAGAAGGCATCTTGTTCTATCATAATACTGATAAGAAAGATAATCCAATATGTAAGCAAAGTCATATATCTGGTTTCATCCAATTTCCGATAATTTTGTTGCAATCAGAGGCGAAGCTGATCTTATTTATTTGGCCGAAACGCGGGAATTAATTAAGAGGCGCAGTGAACTAACGTGAACCAATAATGAGTATAGTACATATTATTTCGCAAAAACGCACAAGTTGTAACAAACCTGCAGCAGACTTTTATAGCAATGCTGTTCCAACAACTTGTCAACAGGATGTGTTCGCACTGCTTGTTCCCATCTTGTTACAAGGTGGCTGTGCTCAACAGACTTGTTACAAGTTGTTCCAAAACAACTTGTTGTCGTCCTGCATGTAATTCAACAATTTGTCAACAAGTTGTTACTGACAACCTTGTAGCAACCTGATAAAATAACAGATTGTTACAACTTGTTGGCAAGCTTGCTACGAGCCGGTTGCAAACACATCTTGTTGACAAATTGTGAGATTTTTAAATGTACATGTAATACAGTAGCTTTGATGATGAGTATATACAGCAGGGTACGATAAATCACGTATTTCGTACCAGAGGTAAGCCAATATTACATACGTTCTGTACCTCTTTATTTTCAGTACCTCTTTATTCTCTAACTTTGATCAAGTCCGAGGCGAATCCGAGGACTGGATCAAAATGCGAGGACTTGAAATCTAGTCCAGTCCGGATTGGAGGATTTGAAATGACATCTCATGTGAATAAATCACTATTTAATTAATTTTGATCCAGTCCAAGGACTGAATTAATTTTGATCCAGTCCTAGGACACTACAGGATCAATGTACTTCATCAGGTATCCAGTATTATCATGTGAGCAAAATAAAGCAATATGGTTTTCTAATTTACTCATGAATTATTAATGCATGAGTTTGAGATATGTTTATGCTCTACTCGTTTTGACATTTTAAATATAGCATATAGAGTCGTAAGAGACTGCTGCTTATTTTGTTCATATACTGTATAGTTTGTACTGTATACTGTAGTTCCAATATAATAATTTCAATATTTTCCTTTCAGTGATATTTCAGGGAAATAAATATGAATATAAGAAAGAAGACAACAAAGAACAAGTGCTTGAAGATTTGTTTGCCTATCTTTTGGAGAAACAGGTTGAATTTAACGTTTATATATTTCCTAGAAATTGTTTGTGCATGCCAATATACAGAGGGGCTCATGAGGGCTAGTGCCCTGTTGAAACTTCATCAGAAGGACAGTCTACAAAATTTGGTTTACAGTGTATTTCAAGAGCTACGTGCAGGTCCGTAATACCAACCTTTCAGAGGCCAAGACAGCGCTGACTTTTAGAATGACTTTTTGAGTTTTGTCTCACATTTAAACATGCTTTTTTAGCAATACTGCATGTTTTTGTGTATAATGTTTATAATTCTTGTGACCGTATGTTTACCTTTGTTCAGCATCAACAACGTATGGGAAAGCAAATTATGGTTATATGCGATCATCAAAACGCGACATTGGAACATATAGTATGAACTTTAATTTTACTTCATTTAAATTCTACAAATTTTTTTTTTTTAATTGGGAAAGTTTTAGAATAAGTCGTATGCAGTTTATGGTTGAGTAAAATGTCCGTAATATTCAGCATTTTTGTTTCATTCATTTTGTTTTGTTTCATTCATTTAATGAAGAATGGCATTGAATATTAGAAGTGTGCTTACAATGTGTATATCTTCTTACTTAGGATTTGAAATTCTTCAAATTTGTCGTTAATTTATTCAACATTTATTACCCTAATATACTTGGTAAGTAATATTGTAATATTAGTTTGTTGTATGGAGTACTGCAGTAATTAAAGGTTTTAATGCAGTTACCCTTTTTATATTCATTTGTTTATAGATTCATTTCTGGTTGTCGGTGTTTCATGGCGTGTTTCTTGTACGTATACCATTTAAGGTTTATATTAGAATAACATTTTTTGTAATATTTTAATGCAAATTCATCAGCTTTGACTTTATTACTTCAGCCAGGATACCTTAGACTCTGATACCTTACTGTCTCTTCCTAACTTGAGAAGCAACGTTTAATATTTTCTAGTTAACTACGTAAATGAAGCTGTTTATTACAGTATATACTAAATATGAACAGTGTAAGTTTATTGTCATTGTCTCTGTGTCTTTTCAAGCTGCATGGAGAAACATTCAGAAATGGCTGAGTCCCGATACGTCACCCAAGTTCAAGTAAGTGTGTAATACCCATAGTTTGTTAACTCACTCATTGTATTTTGTATTAGTGGTTTAGGTATGCTGTCTTTAGTTGTGGTATTTAAAGCACGCATCTTCTGATAGTTTATGCAGTTTTTGCATGCATGTTCCGTGAAATTTGAGAATTATAGGGGTGACAGTTACACCTGGAAATAGTGGTGGATCTTGGGAACATCTTTCCAAGAAAATATTTTGGTGACCATTATGTTAATTAAGGCAGCCATGCATTCATATTTCAGTATGAAAGAAACTTTTATATACGTTCGATATCTTCTCTAGAACTACGCTCAGACCTTGAAATTATTCCAGCCCTTCTTGGATCCCATGCTAAGAGGCAAATCATTTCTTTGTAAATACTGTGGTCAAATTACATTTAACAGAACTTAAACATTCATTCAGACAGCTGTTGGGCATAACCTGTGATTAACTTAGCGAAATCCATCGAATTGAAAAATTAAACAGGATAATCTTTTGTTTTTAGCTTTCGGCCAGGCTATCGCATATAATTTTATGCACGTTACTGATATTAGCCTATCAAATTAAATCGTAGTAAGTGCTTATAATTTAGTTACAGTGACAACAGGAGAAAGAAATAGGGCAAAGACCCAACTGACATCAAACACGCCTTTCAAGACGAATATACGCAGAATCACTGAACTATCTGGCGTCTTCACTTCATGAAAGCAATATTGATACTGTATATACCCTGTGTTTCCATTTTCAAGGAAATTTCACGAAAATTATTTTAGTGTATGAAAGTATAATGATAAAGGAAATCCAATTCCAAGGAGTTTTTAATGTTTGGTCAAGGAAACCAAAGACCTTTTGAGGCCATATATAATACCAATCTACTAAGTCTAGTTTTTTCTCTATTTCTGCCAACCAAAATTGGAAATCCTTTTTTGGAAACCAAAATATTTTCTTGGAACGACATTCCCAGAATCCACCAATAATTCTAGGTGTGACTACTTTTACCTTTCACACCGTTGGCATTTTTAATCCGCTTATGTAGTATTTTTGGAGTATTTTTTCTTCTATTTATAGATTTGTCGAGCAGGCACAACTCACCGATTATGTTGATAAATCAAATCTTCTTGTCTCTTTGGGTGGACAGGTATGTTTTTACACAATTGTCTTTGACACTACTTACATGCAGTCTATTGGGTTTCCAATATGTTTCGCACTTTTTTAACATTTTTAACCAGAGTGCAGCAAAACATTTTGATGATTGATATCTTTTTCAAACTGAAACTCGATTTTTCCATTGATCACAAATTGCATGTGCATGAATGCTACTGTATATATAACTCATGTCAAGTCACTCTAAAAACACTCTGGTTAAAATTGCTGGTTAAATATAACAATTTAGTTAACTTGATAGGACAGGACTTTCTAGTTTAATTAACCCAGGGATGGATCCAGCTTGGTCCGGTAGGGGTTGGGGGGTTGCTCTGCCAGCCTCTGGTGCCGAGTTACAAATGGTCAGGCGTGCCGCCCCGCCCATCAACTTTCATTTCCACTACTCTAAAGTCTGCTTGACTATTGTATTTTGAATTGTGAATTGTTGGTTCACAGTTTGCTTATCATCATGTTATTAATTAAAATTACTGTCTCATTTGGTTTCTAATAATTTTGCTTATCATGAAAAATAGCACCTCCCTGCACTCTCTGGCTGTGCTAGGGGTGTACAACTTCCAGTAAATCCATCCCAGAATTAACCAGATACCAGATTATGTTAGGTGGATAAATAAATAACCAGGAGCCCTGGATTATTAACCAGGAATATTAAGTTAACCCAAATAGGGTTATTTCTAGGTTAATCAGGGAATTTTAACCAGAGTGTTCAGTGGCGTAGCTACGGAAACTTTGAATTTTAAAAGTCTGGAATGGCCATTTCCTGCGATTTCATGGAATTTTCATACTTTTTTCAGAAAAAAATTTGGTAACTTTTTGAAATCGTTTTTCCGTGAATTTTTATCATATTTCACTATATACTTTTTAACTTAACTGAATATTTAGCTTTATAATATTACGGTCAAGTCGCGAAAGAGGAAAATATCTTGTATACAATTTAAATAAATAAATGCACTTCTGTAATATGATCTATCACTTGCTTGGAATTGCGTAAGGTCAATAGATGTCGCAGTGTGCTGTTGAATACGGCGTTTTATACACTATAACGTTATGGCTAGCATTTCGTTAAAAATTAACTACGTTTGTCAGTAATGTGTTAAACTATAACGGAGTGGTATCAACTACGGACCACCACACTTGGCACTCTTGATGCAAATCAGTACGCCCCCCCCCCCACCCCCACCCCCCGATTTCATATTATAGATCACGCGACATGAACACGTTTTTGAGTTCAAGGGTTTATTTGTGAGAATGTGAAGTAAACACAAGTGAGTGTATATCGAATACAGATCGGTATATAATGGTGCCGTGACTAGGATTTAATTGAAGTGATTTCAAGGCGTAAAATGTTAGAAAACACAGAAGTAAACGAACAAATTATGGCGGAGGAGTAGACTACGAAAACAAACAACGACGAGATTTCTCGCATGGAAAGTGGTATTAAAAACGAAAATTTTAGACTGGAATTACTAGGAAAACAAGGGAGTTACTAGAGTCAATGGGTTACGAGGAAATGGTGATTGTAGGGCAAAGAACGGCGAAAGTCAGCGAGACATTGACGAATTTAATATCGAATGCTGTGGAGTCAAAAATTGAGTTAAATATGACACCGCGAAGTGAGACAGTGGCGAGGTGAGATAAAAGCTAGCTATTCGCATTTACTCGAAGAGAGGGAAAGATAACCAAAGCATTTCGTCTGAAACAGCTAGATGTTAAGCAAGACGAAAAAATGAGAATTATTGACGCGGAAAAACGACAACAAGAGAAAGCTGAAAGACAACAACAAGAAGCTAGAGCGAGACAAGAGGAACAAGACGGATGAGTAAGGCGAGAGAGACTGGAGCGAGAACGTGAAATGTTAGAAGAGAGACTAAAATACGAGTTGAGAGTAACTGAGAAAAGTCTAGAAATGGAAAATAAAGCTAAATCTACTCAAGCAAAATTACCTAAGTTGAGAACTTCTCAATTTAATGACACACCAACTGACTGGATAAGATTTGAAACCATGTTCACTACATAAGTGCATGACAAACCAATAAGTGATGAGGAGAAATTTGGTTATTTACTGGAGATGGTCAGTCACAGGTTCGAGAGAGAATAAGTAATTTAAAGCTTAGTAGGTATAATACTGCTTGGGAGAGATTAAAAGGAGACTACGGACATACCAACTTAGTTGTGAACGCCCATATGGACGCTATTGTTAATTTACAAGTTGTAAAGGGATCTAATTAAGAGAAGGTGAAAGAATTTTATGAGAAGGTTAGTTAATGTTATGATGCATTGGAAATATTAGGACAAGCAGAACACTGATCTGATCAGATCTTGTCAGAACGGATGATAGATGAGAAAATTGGAGCATGAAAGATGTACTTGAGAGCCTTCAACAGTGGTTGAAAAGAAGTAGGATGGCTGGAGAGGTGTCTAAAATCCCTACTGATAATACTAGCAGAGAGAGACGTACAATGCATGGTATGCACAAAAAGGCAACGGAAAGCAAAAGAAGAAGAAGTGTTTGTTCTGTGAGGGATCCCATTGGGCTGACAACTGTCCTAGCCAGGATACGAGAGAAAAAAGGAAAGCATTCTCTGTTACACGTAAGCTGTGTTTCAACTGTGGATCAGCAGGTCATAGAGCTGGTTAGTGCAGAGGTAGAGGGTGTCATACATGTCAAGGGAGACGTCACACAAGTTTATGCGACCGAAAACGAAACTTGGACCTTGTTCTTGATGCATATACTGATGATGAAGAGTCGCTGGTCAGGGAGATATTTCGTGTCAAACGATGCCATCAAAAGGTTGAAATTGGAGCCAATACGACATGAAGTTCGACAAATTGTAACCATAAATGGGTCAAAGGAACAATCACTACCCATTTATAATCTTGAGATCAAATCAGTTGATGAGAAACAAGTGGAGACTGCTGAAGTTACAGGATCAAAAATGCAAACCTTTACAACAATCATGAGACCAAATATAAGTGTATTGAAGGAGAAACTTGAACATGCCAAAGATAAACAATTCTCTGTTACAAAGGATGACAAGTACCCAATTGACTTGATGATTGGTGACAATCTTTACTGCAAGATTAAAACCGAACAAGTGTTTAAAGGGAAGTGTGATGAGCTGATTGTTGAGGGAACCACGTTTGGCTGGGTGATCCATGCATGGTGGTGACTATCCTGTTAGCGAATGTCTATTTACTACGGAAGTTTCGGATTATGAGAGACTGTATAGTTTGGACATACTTGGAATCGAGGACAGAAGAGAGAACGATCAGAACGAAGTGCTATTAGAGTTTACAGAGAACATTGCAAGGAAGGTTGATGGCAGATACGAAGTTAATATACCATGGGTAGAGGGGATGAATTAACTGAAGCAAATCTTGAACAGAGTAAACGTAGACTGAGTAATGTGGAGAGAAAGTTAAGGCAAGATGACGAACTGTCGAGGTGGTATGAGGAAATAGTGAGAGAGCAGCTAGAGTCCGGAATTATTGAACATGCCGCTGAAGAACCAACTGGTAATAGAGTCTTACATGCCACACAAACCAGTGGTGAGAAATGATGCATCGACTACCAAAATTCGCATGGTGTTTGATGCAAGCGCAAAGCCCCAACCTTTAGCAAGCAGTCTTAGTCAGTGTATGCATACAGGCCCCCCTCCACAACCACGTTTATGGGATATTATGATACGTGCAAGAATGTGCACCGATATTTTGCTCACAGACATACAAAAGGCATTTCACCATTTCCTGAGTTTCCAGCAAGTAGACCAGTAACAAAGAAAACTGTGCTTAGCAAAATAGGGAGCATCTATGACCCTTTAGGTCATTTTTCGCCAACCCTAGCAGCTGGAAAGCACATTTGTCGGGAAATTTGCGAAGAGAAAGTGACTTGGAATGAGGAGGTGTCAACCGAGTTGAAAACAATGTGGTTTAGATGGACAGAACAGTTGGAAATCGTAGTAATGGACAAAGAACGACACTTGAACAATAGACTATTAACGTACGTGGAAGATGAATTAGGCAAAGACAGAGTGTTGACTCCAAACACGATCTTGTGGGATCAAAATTCCTATACGGTTGATGAAGATTTCGAAGAAGAAAAACTGACGCAGTTTGAGAAACGTCTACAGCACGCTCGACAACATGTGTGGACACGCTGGAGAAAGGAATATATTCATAGTTTGAAGGAGTCGCACAGAATTCAGAAAGAATGATCGGAGCTTCCGGATTTAAATGAGGTTGTGCTTGTTGTCGGAGACGAGAAAAATCGAGGAGGAAAGGTTATAAAACGCATTAAAGGAAAGGAAGGATCGGAGTTATTAGAGTGGTGTCGCTCGTACACAAAGGGCACACCACAGAGCGACCTTTGCAACTCGTACGCGACCAGAACACAACCAGTACGCGAAGAGAACGTGGTTGAAGACGAAAAAGATTCACATAATCAGAGACCAACTAGGGAAGCAGCCAGGAGAGCAAGAGAGTGGTTAAAGATTGTAGCTCAGGATGACGATTGGGAAGAACATTGAGTATAAAAATGAAAATTTGATTTTTTTTATAGGGGAGTGTGTGGGGAGCAAGCCTTTTATTACGAACACACTTCACACACACCGCTTCATATTATAGATCACGTGACATGAACACGTTGTTCAGTTCAATGGTTTATTTGTGAGAATGTGAGACTTTTATGTAAATTTATACTTTACACAACGCAATAAAACTAAAAGTAAACACAAGTGAGTGTATATCGAGTACAGGTCGGGAAAACGCTACGGTATCAAAATTGCTGCAGCGCAACTATAGTGTAAAGGCGGCCAAATATCTAACATAAACTTTGTAAATCTAAATTGGTATATCATTTCTTAAACTCTATACAAGCACTCGTGTTTCAATGCGTAAAGCAGATGAACTGTGGCAGTAAATGATACGCTTATACTTCATATCAATACGAGAGGCTTCACAAATGTTTGTATTCCCCATTATATTGTAACTCAATCGAGTCTGTATTGTCTGTTCACATGCATTTCGTGAGCTAAAATATCTTAGCAGAAACTAGAAATTAGATTTTAAAAAAAGTTTAAAAAAAGTTTTAAAACAATTTTAAAAAAGAAAAGAAAAAGTTTAAAATTTTAAAAAGTTAGATTTTCAAAAAAGTTCAAAAAAAAGTTAGGGTTAGTGGTTAGTGGTTGGGGTTGGCGTTAGTGTTAATTTAGGGGTGAGATGCCGCGAATTTATCATGATAAATTCAAAATGTGCCGCGAATTTATCATAATGATAAATTCGGACGTGTTTAAGAATACGTACTCATATAGTAAATTCAAAGTAATTTAATTTAATTTATAATTTATTACACTTTGCCTCAACATGCAGGCTTGGAAACCGCAACAGCTACGGCCATTTACTGCGGATCCATTAAAGGTAGAGGTAGAGCTCATGCTGATATTTATAGCTTGAGTAATCTCAACAGAATAGTAAAACGTGTGTTTAGTCACGCAGAAACCTCGCTAGAAAAAAAACAATACAACTCCAACACCTGCCTTCTCGAGATAGCAGGAGTTCGACTTTGTAAACAGCCGTTTTGAGCATGCGCAGGGCTGATTATCCAATCAGAAACCAGGATTTCTTGTATTAAATATTATAGCAACTCCTGCCTTCTGAAGATAGCAGGAGTGAAACACGAGTCGCGTGTGAATCAATATATTGCCAAGAAATGAGATGTTGTAGGGGGTTACAGTTGCTAGGTAACAGGCTGTAAAATTGCGTAAATGTAATAGAAAGCGGGAAATGTTCAAAAATAATAATAAGACCAGAAAAATGAAATGATAAATTTTTAAAGTTTTAAGATAAACAAAGCATTTTATTTGGAACTTGGAAAATTATTTCTCTATTTTGTGGAAAGTTTTAGTCCTGCTGAGCATGCAGGACAAATATAACCGCTAGTTACGCCACTGAGAGTATTTTTAGAGTGAACGAATACAGGAGATGACTTTCACTAATCTCTTTGTAGGATAAATACAAATATAAGTTCCCTCATGAAGAAGAAACACAACATCCTTTCGAACCATCGTAAGTTATTTCTCTGTATAGTCGAAACGTAACTCTTTATTCGGTGTTGCCGTTGTTTCAAGTGTGTATATCCTCTATACAAGTAAATGTTTATTGATTTAAAAAAAAACGGTCATATAGCATTTTCTGTATCCCAAAATTCCCTCCAATTGGCAGAGTATATAATTTTTGTGTGCATTTCTGTAGAGTGAATGAAACCGGTAGCTCGAACGATCTTGATACCCAAAGTCCTTTTGAAGATGCTATTGAACATAGTGATGACAAAATTGAATCAATTATTCCGGAGGAATTACCGCCAGAAAGTGTAACTTTGACTACAACAGTAAGAGCTCGGTTGTGACACATTAAACTAGGTTTCCATATGGTCGTAACGATCTTTCTCTACGGCCAGGTTATAACAGTCTTTTACTTGTAAACCACATGTATAAATCATAGGTATTCTCTATTTATTCTCTGCCTATTTTCAGCCCCAAATTGTTGTATTTCGGCTGTTGAGAAAGATCGTGGCTCGATCTTTACGACTGTTACGACTATATATGGAACCAGGCTTTAAACAATTAAACCGTGGATGATTATCATAATTGATTATAATGATTCCTGCCAGTATATATCTTTGCTGGGAACCATGTACATTTGACGTTTGGGCTGCTATAAATCTACCACAATGGTCGTACAGTTCAAGAATGTTGCTTACGATAGAAGCAACCGTTTTACGTTCAGAATAATGATAATTTATACTATAGAATTACGTTTGTTGCACGGAAAAACAACCGTTTGCAAAATTTTCACTGACTATTTAAACAGATCTGCCAATCATTAACAATCTTTTTTACGGACTTCACCACACATGCATGTACACGCTGTATAATTTTTGAAATCTAGGCGTTCCGCGGTTAAGTTATTCTCCCTATATCGAAGCAGTAATTTTATAAAACATAAATTCAGATTATGTAAAAATGCTACAGTGAAAGAAGTGGTTTCGATAAAAGTACAAATTTTCAACGGAAGCAGCAAGTTTCATTTGCAGTTTGAATTGTAAAACATATACCTGCAAAACATATACCTGTAAAACAAAACCGTAAATCGAGTTGCATGCCAAGCACTATTGAGTTGCATGCATGCACTATTAGCTGAAGACTACGCCTGATTTTGGTTATAATAATTGCATGTAACTGCCGCGATTGAAAATATTATATCTTATTTTTATAATTAAAAATATGAGTAAAATTAAGGCAAGAAGTAGTGAAAGTTTGCCTCTGTGAATTCAAAGCTAACGTTTAAAAAACTCAGGCAGCCGACGGTTTGAAAGAGATTATGAAGAACAACAGCACCTTTATTTTAATTCATTACAAAACAAGGACAATTTTGAAATTTTAAAGATTGTAAATTTTCGTAAAAATTAACGATTTCTAAAACCTGCGCTAAAACTTGCCTTTCTAATTCATATATTGATTTTGTAATTGATGTCGTTTTTATTCTATAGGACTGTTTCTTCTACAGATACAAATAAGGAAATTTATTGTTATGGCCGTTTATATAGAATACTTTTGTTCAGGTTTTCTGTTTGCAAAAATGTGGATGTAAAAATATTCATTTCGCATAACAGGTGGTTATATAACCTTGCTTGTAACCTGGCAACCGCAGGCAAGGATGGCGTCGTAAGTCAAAACAATCACTGAAAAAATATAGATATTTAATCTTGAACGAGAACTAATTTATAGCAGTCTGTTTAAAAAATATTCCATCTGTTTATGGATTCTGTGTGTATTTTATTTGTTTGGGTGGATTATTATATAACTTTTGAATGTTTGTGACAGGTGGTTTGTAAGTCGTGATTTTTATACATTGAATTTGTGCCCATGCAGCCATAGTGTTGTAGAAGTTTATACAATGAACTTCTTCTGATTTTTAGAGTATGGGTAGTTCAATGGCAACAATGCAGCTCAGACGCGTAAGTATATATAGTCACTTTATTTATTATCTTTCACTTAAGAAACAATTGTGTTCTCCATAATATATATGTTATGCATGTTTTTAGAATATTCGCGTGTAATGTACCCGTGACCAACTCAAACTTCATGTCTTAACCTTTTTTAGCGTAAAGGTCGTGATAGTCAACAATCGTCAATTGAAGAGATATCATCCCTTGATGAGGAATCTCAGCCTGAACTTACAATCAGGTACTTGTTTAACACACTTTCGGTAATGCTTTTTTGAGCCCTGAATAGAAAATGTAAAAAATTGTATCTTTAGGCTAATTTTAGCCAGTACTAAATGGTAAAATAATTCTATGACCAAAATACTGAAGTTATGCGCTGTATGATCTTGGGCGGAGTAGTCAGATGGATCCGCCCTGATTAGGTTTGTATACACAAATCTTGTACAATGTAAATAGTGGTACGAAAAATTAAATTAATGGTGATTTCTATAAAACGCAATTGATTTGAAAAGGTGGGGAAGAAAAACGAAGTTTCGTTCGAGGAAAGTCGGCGAAGGTCATCCTGATGCGGAGAGTCTATCAGGTTGCCGGCACCCGGCGAATTTCTCCGCCTCTAACGTCGACAATCGCCGGTTGTTTCTGGAAATCATTTCCTTCTTACCACAGAAATGTCAAGGGTTTAATACTTTTTAAACCATAAATTTTACACGATATTCTTTATTAAATATTTTGGATACTGTGACGAAATCTCAAAAACAACTCTCCAAAGATGGCTGGAAATGCCATTTCAAAGAGTCTACATTTCAAAATCTCCAGGGGTAGACGATCTTGGTTGGTAGTATATGTACGTTCGGCACCATAGCCAGTGAACCTACTTCTTTCAAAAAAGCCTCCTACTCCAAATTCTATTGGGAATCCTGGATGCAGGTTTTTAGGGAGTTCGACAAACTGCTACCGCGGCAACTGCAGTGAAAAGTTCAGTAAATCATTTAAAATGTCGATATGCACTGATTAATGGTGACATTTATGTTCCGGGGGGTGTGTTTCTGAAATTGTTTGAAGGTGGACCATCCCCATAGAAAATCCGTTTTTGAAAAATTAATTTTAATTGGTAATTTCTTGAACTCACCACAGGCCGCGGACTTGCTTAAGCAGCTTTGTAATTTTCTGTATGTCCCAATTCAATAGAAATTGTGATTGCGATTGTTTTTTGTTTATCTGTTATTGTAAACGATCTGCCCCGTGTTTGCAAAAATGGAGTAGGCAGTGCTCGAAAGCATGATATTTATCCAACGTACAAGGTCATCGAACGAAATTTGTTTATCTACGAAAATTAATGGCTTGATCTACAGTCTAAACATTCATCTAAATATAACCAACATTTACAAATTGTATGTAGCTTCAGCCGTTTATATTTATACTGCGGTCGACGCTGAATCCCACACACGGTTAAATATTTGTAATAATTTATAAAGAGACTTTAAATTATTAAAGTGTTTATAATTAAATTAATATTCGTAATAAGCAAGTTTCCCTTCGACAGTTTTCTATAGTGGAGCGCACGTGCTCGTAGGTAGTCTACAAAATTCCCATGACAACCATATTCAAAGTACTATAATTTTTGTTTTCGAAAAGCTGCCTAATTTGCGGCGGAAAACTTGTCAATTTTTAGCGTATAATCAGTGCTCTCATTTCTCATTGCCTGGAATTCCTTAGATTCTCGGTAAAAAATTCCTCAGATTTAGTAAAATTTCCTTAAACGAGGGGTAGGCATGTTTTTTTGGTAATTCATGGCCTGAATGATTGAGAATTACAAAGTTAGGTTCCCAGAATTTTTGTCTCATGTGGGAATTGGGATTTTGAGCAGCATCGTTAGAAGGGGATTTTACATTGTTGGTCAAGGAATATCTTCCTTCGAAAAATGTTTGCAGTCCTGAATGTAAAAGACTGTATTTCCTGCGTTTTTAAAAAGTATTTTTGCATAATACAGCTAAATTGACTGAATTTTTAAATATTATTTCAATATTTTCAAATATTATAGATAATAACAAAAAATTCCTTAGAAATTCCTTAAAAATTCTATTTCCTTAAAAGTCTCCTTAGAAACTGACAATTTCCTCAGTTTAAGGAAATTTCCTTAAAACTGAGAGCCCTGCGTATAATACACGAGCCAAAAGCTTGACAAGAGACTGGCTCGTCTGTACGTAAACCAGGAGAATTTGCGAAAAACGCAACTATCTATAGACTCCTGGTTAGGTCTGATAATGTATCTGGATTTGCGGTTGAATATCGCACTACCTCTCACTGGCTTAGTACGCTGATTGGTTGATCGGATATATCAAACACATCTGATTGGTTAATGATCGCTTCATGGTAACGGTAACGGTAGTGGAAGTCAAATCTAAAACCTCTCTACTGATTACTGTACTCTACATAAATAGACACAAGAATGTTAACAGTTCATTCATATGTAGACTAGTAGGGGCGAATATTTCGTTCCGCCCACCCTGTATGACCTATATACAACCCTGTGACGAGTGACTGCCATGATCTAGCATCTACAAAGAACCCTTTTACTGTACTGTATTAGTTCTATTGCACGAGATGCTCCAAAATATCGATATTTAGTTGAGATATTTGAGAGGGTCAAATCATAATACATCAAATCAGAACACGTGTCCGTCTTTGTTGTAAAGTGGGTAAATGTATATAGGTGGGCTTGCTTTAGAGGCGTAAGTGCTTGGTAATTGCGCATGTTAATTGCACAACAAATATTTAATTGAAATCTTTATTTAATTGGATATATTTTCTTATATAGCCCGAGTGAAGAAATCACGTTCCAAGAGACTGTAGACGCTAAAGAAGTTCGAGAAACCTTGACGCTCAAGAATATTTGTGGGAACAAAGTTATTTTTAAGGTGAATGTAATAATAACCTGGTTCATGTAATAATCAAAGACCTGCATATTGTGGCAACCTTTCCTGAGATCGTGGTTTTCTTGCACGGGCAACCTCCCACTCAGAGGTAAACCCCTGTTCTCACCCACCCACCACAGAGGTTTCAACGGAGGAACTTCTCTTGTTTAGAATAGAAGAGTTTAGAATTGAAACTCGCGTTAATTTTGATGCTTGATGCAACCAATTTTTACCGCTATATTTATAAATCCAATCAATATTTTAAAGTGTTTGTCATGGTACAAACCTGTATTATTTGATTACAACCCTTAATGTCAATATAATTTACATCCTCCAATATCATTTGTGTAGAGAATTATTTTGTGATATTATATATTTCTGAAATTTAGATCAAAACAAATTCAGCAGCGAACTTCCGTGTTAAACCAAGTATGGGAGCACTAGAACCCGGTTCAACCCAAACTGTCGTTGTTATGCTTTTGTTAAAAGGTGATTAAACTCAATATTTTACGCGTCAACTACAGTATAAGGAAGACGTTCTTATCCGCATGAAATTGTTGTTAACCATCATCATTTCCTTCATTTACGCTTAACGCCCTCTCTCCTCCGCAGAAGCTTACATGAAGTTTCTAGTGAGGGAAAAGTGAGCGCGCAAGGAGTGATGGGAAGAGCGAAATAAAGGAAGCCTCTGCTAGTTAATGCAATCAATATGGCGTCGTATATAATCGTTTGGAGTTCGGTTTGATATCAACCTTCGAGGGTGTTAAAACATGTTTCCACTTTCCTTTTCAGGCGTACTTGTGTCTCCTGGAATGAATCCAATATCAATATCTTCTTCTGTCCATTTGCACCGAAAAATATTGAGAAATTGCAGATGAATATAAATGGATATGCGCTATCTAATTATAAATATCCTCTAAATTGCAACATTTCTTTATAAGAATGACTCTACTGAACTTCGATACTCAGATTATGAAGATCAACTTCAATTTCTTCCACATTTCCGTCGATTTCAAGTTTGAAAAAAGGTCAAATAACTGGCTTGGTTCAAAAACCATACTTCGTTGCATTATGTGGCAGAGCCTTCTCGGCTTCATTTCGTTTTCTTTAACAATATTCTTTGGCCTTCCAGTTGTAAATGTGTCTAATTATTTTCTTTCCGACTTTCTTATGTAATATCTTAGGTGAAGCAACTCAAGAAAAACATCATTGGAACAAGGATAAATTTCTTATTTTATACGCTGAACCCCAGGATGAAATTACAAGTGAAACAAGTATTCATGACGTGTGGAAGCACACTCCAAAGTCGAGTACTAGAGAATACAAGTGAGTAACAAAGAAAACTAAACATGTCTTAAATATAGCACAACATCCTTCTCTCAATCTCATTGGTTGCCTGGCCCCTTTGTATACGTGGTTAAAATTTTTCCCGCCTGCCGCAAGCCCGCACGAAAGAATCTAGGAAATGTGAAGTTTCCTATTATAGAAGTAAGGTGTTATAAATTTTCTTCGCGAGATTTATTTCTTCGCTGGTGTTACATGTACAGTGGTTTCAAAATAAGCCGTCACCCGTCGCATCCGACTGCAACTCTTCCATTTGCGACGGCTACTTTCTCTTTTGTGAGTAACTATGAATTCTGTTAAAATATTAAAGTGTTTACAAAACATTTTGTGAGCAAACAAGCGTGTATTTTCCTGGAATTTCGTCGAAACATAACCACAGTCACAGATTAGAAGCTTTGATAAGTCTCTTGCGCGTTGAGGACAGGCTCAGAGGTCTTCTTGGTAGCGGTTTTTAACAGATTGTACTTTATGTAAGATGTCACATTCGTCTCCAAGAACAAAAACAAAATGGCGGAAAAACGACAACGAAAGCTAGCGGAGATGTGGTCGCTATTGTTATTGGACGTTGTTGTTGTAGGCATTAATTATAAGAACATAAATTTAACAGTGTTTTAGACATTTAAATTATATGATTTTTTTGTGTCTCAAAAATAAATGCTGGAAAATGCATCTTCTAGAGTCTATAAGTCCAAAATTTTCTGGAAGCATGCCTTCCGATCCCCCAAGTTGCGAAGTTCGGTCTTTGGTTGCAACTCCTACTCTTCCCAACTCAACGTCTACTATGAAATGTTTTGAAACCACTGCTGTTAAAATGGGACTGTATATTTTCGTTTCAAATTTATATTTTCTCTTCAACAATCGTTATCTCTAGATTCTCTACATATGACTGAACACTGCTTTCGGTTGTTTCATTCTTTCTCTCTCGTTCTCTCAAACAGTCTATCTCTAACTTATATTTTCCTCCCTCGTGACGCACATTTTGCAAAACCTTCCTCGCTTGGTTGGCCACAAATCAACGTACAAAACTACCCTCACGTTCGTACATTTCATCTTATTTACTAAGATGCTAAAAAGTTCCTCTTTTCTTTTAACGTTCGTATTTCCTGTTCTTCAAATGTTCCAGTTTACTCGGATTTATGATTAATATGCATACGAATTTATCAATATTAACAGTAAAACCGGTTACAGACGAGCAAGTTTTCTATGACAAATTTTCATATGGCAAGTTTTATTTGTCAATTGCACTTGTGTACGTATACAACAGATTTTCTATGACAAGTTTTTGGTTTTCTGACCGCCAACATAGCTATTATTATAGCTAGTACAACAATAGATCACTGACCAATCTTATGCAAATGCTAAGATTACTTTTCCAAATTTTCTTCGTTGACCCATACAGACGAACAAAATTTGTACTTTGCCAATTTTTTCTATGACAAGTGCACTTGCTCAAGCTAGCATGCTAGCCTTCTAAAACTAGTGTACTTGTCACAGAAAAAATTGGAAAAGTTTCCTATACAGACGAGCAAATAAAATTTGTCATATGAAAACTTGTCATAGAAAACTTGCTCGTCTATAACTGGTTTAAGAAATACTGTACTAGTGTATTCTGCACTAAATCTAAGCTACTAATTTACAACATAAGGTTCTGATTTTAAGAATCTTTTGTTGCTTGGCACTGCTTGCTTTTGACACTGCTTGCGTTTCTCCAGATTTCACCGCGCCCAGTGTTTTGCGCGATCTATTTATTGTTGAAAATCTCGGTATGCGTCTCTGTCGATCCAGATGGTAAATTCGGCGTCTAAACCAGATATAAACTGGTTCTTGTTATTTCGGGTAATGTTTTTTTATATTTTGGACGTTTGATTTTCTACGATCACAAACAAACCAAGCATAACTGTCAGTTATGAGCGAAACGTTAACGGTGCAAAATAGCATGAGGTTACGTCACGTGCAAATGATCAATTAGCATTTCTCACGCAGGCAATATCAGAATGTGAAGAGAGACTTTTCAAAGTTGTAACTGTAAATTTACCATTATACGCACAAAAACAGTGATAAAAAGTCGCATGCATGTCGCAGTGCGTACACTTGGGAAAGGCAGTACACCAAAGTGGCGGATGAACCGAGTGTGAGAAAGGCTGCTTCCTGTCCTCTGCACAGCCTGAACACAAGGTGACTACTAAATGACGTCATCATATTCTATATAGGTTAAACTGTCGCGTGTTGGATGTGAATGGGTTGGAAAAGAGACCAAAGACAATTGATGACGCAATAGAGATGAATATAAAATTACAACGACAAATGTCTCAATTACAATCAAAGGTCTGTTTCATTGGATGTTTGATGGAAAGTTAAGCCGGTTACAGACGAGTTTTCTATGACAAGGTTTTGGTTTTCTGACCGCCAACATAGCTATTATTATAGCTAGTACAACAATAGATCACTAACCAATCGCGTGCAAATGCTCAGATTACTTTTCCAAATTTTCTTTGTTGACCCATACAGACGAACAAAATTTGTACTTCGCCAATTTTTTTCTATGACAAGTGCACTTGTTCAAGCTAGCATACTAGCCTTCAAAAGCTAGTGAGTGCACTTATCACAGTAAAAATTGGCAAAGTTTCCTATACAGACGAGCAAATAAAAATTGTCATATGAAAACTTGTCATAGAAAACTTGACAGAAAAGCTTGACCGGCTTTAACAGAAATGCAATACCTCTGTAATAGAAAAATCGGATGCGTTCTCATCAATAGCAATGGCATACCTAATTTTAAGAATTTTTTATCACTGCACAGTTTTGTGCAAAGTTTAGTCGAGCAGAAGCACGCCCTGAAAATTTCTGAACACACCCTTATAATAATGTGTAGCGACAAAGCAGGCTACTATTCTTATTCAAAAATGCCAAAACGAACATACACTGCACAGCACTCAGGGAAATTAATTGGGGGCCCAGGACAAACTTTGACTTGGGGGCTCTCGTGATTCCATGTTCTAACACTATGATTCCCTGGTCCGGGGGCATCACCCGGAAAAATTTTGAATCTGAGGTCCCAGAAATGGCCAAATCCTGCATTCTGGAAGTCTAGTTGACCCAGCGGGCAAAATGACGTTTATCCAACGTTGAATCAACGTTGGAAATGACCTTCCAGACGTTGGATAGGCGTTGAAAAAGGGTTGACTATGCAAATTGGATCGACGTTACTGTTTCGACGTTGAAACAACGTTGAAATTAGGTTGCCAGTCTCGTCAACCATAATTCAACGTTGAATCCACGTTAAAACAACGTTGAGATTGGTTCACAAATCGACGTCGTACATTTAACCATGAATGAACGTTAATCAGTCCACGTCTGTTGGCTGCTGTTGAACCAATGTTTGTAAAACAACGTCAGAGCAACGTAGATATTAGGTTGTCGACGTCGCAACCTTTTTTCTACCAAATTTCAACGTTGAAACAACGTCGTGTGCCCAGTGGGGACAGTTAGTTATATCTATGTACATTTCACTGCAATTCTTTATTTGGGCCCCCCTTTAACTGGGGTCCCAGGGCAAATTACACCCCTCTGGGCGGCCTTGACAGCACCTGCAGTTACGACTATCTGTGAAAGCTTAGTTTCATAATAACATGACTGAAGAAAATAAATATTTTCGTCTTGGCAAATGAAAGGCGGCTTACGGGCTTAGGCGTGACAAACTTCTAGAGGAGTTCCAGGGGAATGCACCCACAGACAATTTTGTAATCTAGGCACTATAAAAGGGTATCTCCTGCATTGTGCGGGGACATTCTATAGAATTCTGAAAATTATACAGTAATTACAAAATCTTAGAAGTATCATTCGCACCTTCTTCCAAACTCATAAAGAGATCTTTGGTGAGAGACTTTGTTCATCTGATGAACCATAAGTATGTTATTAATGCGGACGTTCGATAATTTGGCAGTCATCATTTCAATTTCAATTAAATCGTTCTCATTCAAAATGTTTCGCCGGATTAGTTCAGTTTTTTCTGCTCATTGTCTCATTTTCTTGTGTTAATTAACAACTTATCAAAGCAAATTTTATCACTGCACATTTTACATTTTTTCACTGCACATTTTACTTTTATCACTGCACAAATTGGTTATCACTGCACACTAAAATTAGGTATGAGCAATGGCCAATGCGTAACTTGAACATTTGGTTGGTTGAAACTTTATTGTATTGGTTGATTATCATCATCATCATCACATGTCGGACAAAAGCATGCATGGGATTTGGCGCCTACTGTCAATATTATATGGGGTGCCTAGAATGTAAGCCATTTTGTTAGTTTTACCATATGATATATATTTTCTTAAAGAAAAATGTCAATTTTTGTACGTATCTCCGCTTCAACAAAATGGCTTACAGCGACAGAAAGGGCTCAAGAAAAGAGCAAAAGAATCTATTTGTCTCTCCGTGTACATGTAAATTGGTCAGGAGAATTCAAAGTAAATGTATATGGGCACCCCCTCTAATATTGATAGGTAGGTGCTAAGGAACGTCTCTGCATGATCAAGGCTAAATTGTGTGATGCTAAATTGTGTGACGACTTAATTGACTGTATAATGTAATGGTCATACCTAATATATGCAATGGCCTTCGTATTTATACATGAATTTGTGGTTAGAGCTCGACAATTAGTGTCTCTCTGTAGCTCAATTGGTTAGAGCGCTGCACTGGAATGGCAGGTTCGATACCTGCCAGAGGGCCGATATAGTTGTATTTTTCTGCTCCTGATTACAGGTCTAATAAATGTATAAAAATTCCACTTGAAATTTCCATCTCCGCTACCTGAGTATCAGGATGGATAACAAGTTGCATTCCTAACTTCTGTAGAGTACATCCAGACCTTGTATACATTCTGTTAATTATGGTTTTATATTTTTTAATTTAGTTTTCTTACACTTCCCTTGCGTTATCATTTTGTTTTAATTTCTTCTTTAATTAGATGGAAAATTTCACGGATCCACTTCAACATATACAAGAACAACTACATCAGCAGAGATCGTTTCTCGTCGCAGTGTCAATAGCATTCGTGATTTTGTTATCGCTTATGTTTTGGTTCCGTTAACTATTTCAATCATGCACTAATCAAACGTATTCGTGAATTATGTATAACATTGCTTTGGTCTTTGTTATTGTGAAAATTATTTTCAAATTTTTGTAACACAAATTAGTCTTTATAGATTGTAAAAATAAAATGATCAAATCAAACCGTTGTTAATTGGTATATATATATAGCTATATATAGGTGACAAAATTGTAATGATCATCGTGTATGAGAAGGGTGCACTAAGGTGATTGTTTACTAAGGTTTTTACACCGTCAATCTTCTACCAAGTCCCTTTTCAACTAATCCATGTGAGCCTCTTTTTTAGAGGAGAACACGTAAATAAAAAAGTCTGCAGCATGCGAAGGGTTCGATAGTCTGTCATTTGCAATATAATTTTCTAAATATTGTACACATGCAAGAAAAAAGAAAGAAATTATTAAACCTATTCCACTTTTGAAAACCGTCCTTTCCAACAAAGAATCATATGTATAGTGATCAGAGTTGTTCAGAAAATCACTAAAATAAGGCCAACCTCGCGTACTCCCGGGCTATAGGAAGACCCTCGGAACGAGGTTGAACCAGGGCTAGCCCAGAATTTCAAGAAAAAGAAGAAATAGATTTCGAAGTCGTTTTGAATATAAATAAATAAAGTTTTGAATAAATAAAGTTTTGAATAAATAAAGTTTTGAATAAAGTTCTGAATAAAGTTTTGAATAAATTTCAATATTTGATGTCTGATGATAACTTTGAAGGAAGTCGAAAATTTACAAACCTCGACGACTTCCAAATCTATTTCTTCTTCTTCTAGTGAAATTCTGATTTTATAGAGTGTAGACATAGCTAGAATCATGAAATACAACTTATAAAAGTCGTATTTAAAGTCGTATTTCATGACTGTAGCTGATGTCTACACTGTATAAAATCAGTACACTTATACACTAGCTCACATAACTCAACTATTATAAAAATATTTTCCAAATTTCAGGCTTTGATTCTGATAAAAATGGGTGGTGCATTTAGACAAATGGCCAATGTCTGGCTGTAGCATCTTTAAAATTCTGCTAGGTTTTTATATACGGGATTTTGCTGTATAGATTTTCCTTGTAATACTACCAATATAATAATACTATATATACATACTAATAACAACACTACATATACAGTGATCCCACTGAGTACCGATCAGATAGTGGTCAATCTTGAAACTCATAAACAGGCTTTTTGACGATTCTTCGTGAGAAATTGTGTCTGTGAAACACAGATGGTTGCACATGAGCGATTCTATTGGATTTTTTCGCTTTCGCAGTGAGTAGAACTACATGCAGGTGAAGCGAAAGGTTTTTTCTCGCGAAGCCTAATTTATCTTTACTGTGCATGCACCTATTCATTTCGCGCTAAATTTTTCGCATTTCGCCGAAGAAAGCACCCGTGATCTGGTGCACGGCAGTGTTGGTGTTCAGTAGTGAAACCTGCGGCACCTCATACGACA